GAGCCGAAGGCAGTCGCTTAACCAACTGAGCCACCCAGGCGCCCCCCCAAAAAAAATTTTTAAGCCCTAGGCCAGAGGTCTTAGGTGACCTGCCAAAGCCTGGTGCATTCCAGTCTCGTCAGCCAAGTTGTGTAGGGGACTGCAGTAGCTGGTCAGCTGACTTGTTAGCACCACACAATTACATCCTCGTGGGTTTAGCATCTTGACTCTCCCCCTCCAGAGAGCTCTGTGGGCTCCTGAGGAGGAGTAGAGACGTGACGTCACACCTGATACTACAGTGATCCATCAAAAACACACAAGGTCTTGGTAGCCTTACGGTGGAGTAAGCTCAGGCCGTGCACAAGAGCCAGAGGGAATCCGAGAATATTCTTTGTATATGGGTAACTTCATTTGATTATCAACTAATTGAATAACATCAAAATTATTTTAAGTATACTTTAAAAGTTTAGTCACCTAAAAAGGAATTCAAAAATACTTTAAAATCAACAAGATTCAGATTTGTTTTAATTAGGAGCAAGATGACTACATAAAAATTATAATCAGCTTATCTATACAATGAGCTGAAGACAATAAATGCCCCGCTACCAATGCTCTGGAACCCACAGAACACCCACTTCTGTACAACCACCTCCCCACCACTTATTCAGAAAAATATATACTTGTATATTTCCATGTCCCATCAAGTTCATCAAAATGACAACCTACCTTTAACTAAAAATATTACATTCTAAGTTCACATGTAGGTATCTCTAAGTTTGAGGATTCCTAACACTAAACAAGACTTGGGAAGACTTTTTTGGTAGAAAAGATCCTTAGAATCTGTGGTTGGAGCTATTAAAGAAGCCACAGTGCTCTCAAGGAGCTGGACCAGAAACATCACCATCTGTAATCCTGCTCACATCTATGCTCAAGTTTCTCATACACGTAAACTATGGCAGGAATAAAAATAAACATTTTAACCACTGTGGTATAATAAGACATGTATTTGGTCTTGTTTCCTAAAACTCACATAGCTCCTAAAATTCTTGTGATTTCCCAAGGGCTGGGGGGGCTAGGAGCATCTTTTGTTCTAATATTTGGTCTTTGACCTCAGTTCCTGACACAAAAGCTTCTAAGACCCTTGGAATCTCCAGTGATAAG